GGGCTTAACCCTTCTCAACTCCAAAATCACGTCCACAGTGCCTGATCATCTCGAGGTCCATATTCCATTGATTTCTTTTTCCTCTCTTCCATATGTAATTTCTCCCTATTTGTCATTCTCTGTGCATTTGTCAACCTGTTCAACATTCTTTCATTTAAAAAAAAAATTATTCAAATCGCTCTTCTGCCCTACTGCTGCCTTATATCGTATTGCATCTCTCACCTGGATTTTGTAATATTCTCTTAACTCATGTCTTTCCTTCAAATCCTGATGTCCTCATCCCCAATCTACTCTTGGTATCAAAGGGAGTCATCAGATATGCAGATCAGGTCAGGCTAGGCCTCTGCCTAGGATCTCCCAGTAGGCTAAAGATCCATTCTACAAATGGTGCCTCATCACCAGGTTCTCCCCAAATATCTGCTTCTCACATTTCAGAAAAAATGTTGAGCCACTTTTTTTAAAATTGAGACAGAGTCTCGCTCTGTCACCCAGGTTGGAGCGCAGTGACACAATCCTGGCTCACTGCAACCTCAGCCTCCCGGGTTCAAACAATTCTCCTGCCTCAGCCTCCCGAGTAACTGGGACTACAGGTGTGCACCACCATGCCCAGCTAATTTTTGTATTTTTAGTAGAGACAGGGTTTCACCATATTGATCAGGCTGGTCTCGAACTCCTGACCTCAGATGATCCACCCACCTCGGCCTCCCAAATTACTGGGATTACAGCCATGATCCACCACACCTGGCCTGAACCACTTTTTAAGACATGATTGACATATAATAAACCACACATATTTAACAGCTTTATTGAGGTATAATTAATGTACTACAAAGTTCACCTATTTAAAGCATATAATTCAGTAATTTTTAGTGTAGTCACAGGGTTCTCACATTTTTAAAATATACAAGTTGAAGGCTGGGCCAAGATCGTGAGCCAAGATTGTGCCACTACACTCTCGCCCAGGCGGCAGATTAAGACTCTGTCTCAAAAAAGTAAAAATAAAAACATATACAAGTTGACACATTTTAGCATAGGTACCTATCCCTGAACTCATTACCACAATCAAAATGATATTTATCACCCCCTAAGGTTTTCGTATGCCCATTTGTAATTTCTATTCCCCTCCCTAGCAACCACTTATCTGCTTTCTGTCATTATAAACTAGTTTACATTTTCAAAAAGTTTATGGAAATAAATCATGTAGTATGTACTGTTTGCTTTGTCATTTGTCTTGGTCTAGCTTCTTCATTCAGCATAATTATTTTGAGATTCATCCATGCAAACATATATCACTAACTCATTCTTTTTTGTTGCTGAGTAGTATTCAGTTATGTGATTACACCACAATTTGTTTACTTACTTGTTAATGGTAATTGGGTTGTTTCCAATTCAGGACTCTTACCAAAAAAAAAAAAAAGAAAGCTATTAGAAACATTCATATATGAGGATTTGGTCATATTGCCGTTGTTTCTCAAGGGCAAACACCTAGGAGTGGGATGGCTGGATCATATGATAAGTATATGTTAAGAAACTTATAAGTATAAAGTGGACTTTTAAAGAAACTACCAAACTATTTTCCAAAGGGTGGTACCATTTTGTGTTTCTTCCAGAGGCATATGAGAAGTTCATGTGCTCCATATTCTCACCAACACTTGATGTGATCAGTGTTGTTAGTCTTAGCCCTTCTAGTGAATGTGTAGTGGTGTGCCTCACAGTTTAAACTCTAGTGGTCCTAACCTCCTAGTAGTCCCCACTACATACCATCTGGCTTCACTTCCCCAAGCCTTTGCTCTGGCTGTTCTTATAATCTGGATGCTTCTATACCCATCTCTTGGTTAAATCATCTTCCTTTTGATACAGACAAGAGACAGGGAAATACTGGGTAGAAGAGGGTGGTCCCCTGGCAAAGGCCCCACCCTCCAGCCTGGAAACTCATGGCCCTAAATAGGAACAGACATTCCTGTTTTCATGCCTCCTTATCCTATACTCAAACCCCAAATCCCAGACTACACAGGCAGACAAACAGAAGAGCAAAAGAGCAGCAGAATGGCACAGCAGAGAAGGAGAGAAGAGAAATAATGTCTCAGAGTTCAGCTGGGAACAGTCAGAGAGGAGATCCACAGGTGGATAACAGGACTCCAGGGGAAGATCATTTTCCCACTCCATCCCCCTTCCAGCTCCCCATCCCTTCCACTGAGAGCCACCTCCACCACTCAATAAAACCCCTGCATTCACCAGTCTTCAAGTCTGTGTGTGACCTGATCCTCCCTGGATGCTGGACAAGAACTCGGGTACCAAGATGGTACTGAGCTGGTTAACACTTAAGCTGTCTGTGATGACAGAACTAAAAGAGCACTGTAGCACACCCACTGGGCTTTGAGAGTTGCAGACACACACCCCTAGACTCCTAATGTGGGGCCAAAAGCTCTCGCACTGGTTCCTACCCCTGTCCATCTGTGTGCTCCCCCTCTTAAGTGGTTTGAGTAGCAGCTGCAGCCAGAGGAGCCACACCCCTGTCACACATCCTGTGAGGTGGGTCAGGGAACTCTCCTATTTCACTTTACCTATCCTCAGGTTCCCTGGCCATCCAGGTTGAGCCAGAGTTTCTCTCTCTCTCTCTCTCTCTCTCTCTCTCTCTCTCTCTCTCTCTCTCTCTCTCTCTCTCTCTCTCTCCATATATGTATATATATATATATATATATATATACATACACACACACACATGCCCATAGAATTTTGTGAATTTTTTTCAAAGCCTTTTCACATTATCCCCTGAAATCTTATTGTGTTACTGTTTTCCCTACTCAAGGATGGGGTCCTAATACAAGGCTTGGCCCATCATAGCATCATGGTCACAAATGACCATGTTAGAGACAGAATACCAACTTCTAAGAGTGATACTTTTCCTCTGCAACTTGAAAAATGTAGCTGTTTTCTCTTGTTTAAAGAGAGCTGTGATCGCAGTCATTGTTACTTGAAAATTATTAATGAGAAATAATATACAGCTGTAGTAATAGTTTTAAATAAAATGAATAATTTTCCTAATTCTACAAAACATTCTTCAAACACAGAAGGTGAAATACAGATGAAGACAAAGGAACTCGTGAACCTCAAAGAAATTAAACTTTATCTGAAGGAGAGTCACCCAACCATTATTTTTATGATTTTAAAGTTTCCATTTCTGAGGATTTTAAGTATTTTTTTACCCTTATCCTCCATGTTATGGTGTGAGGATTTTAAGTATTTCTGAGGGAACTAGGATTAGTTGTTATGCCTATAATAGTTTATATGTTGGTGGGTAAAGAAAAAGTAGGACTGAGAAGTATATTTCAAGCAGCTTCTGAGGAATTCTCAGTAGTCAATAATACCTGCAAGTTTTTCAGCTCCCCAGATAATGGTCAGTTAGATGCAGTTTTTACGGGTTCACAGGAGGGAGGCAGAAACATGAAAAGAGTGAGCTGGTTTCCAGGAGAGCAGTTCCTGGTGGTAAGCGGATGGTAAAGAAGTTAAGTTTCAAAGTCCAATTCGAAATTGCAGCTATGGAATTCAGAGTAATTGTCACTGAGGCTTTATAGCCTGTGGATTTGGCCTGCTGTGCACAGGGAGTGGTTCTTGGTTTTCAGCCCTGAGCAAAGTGGCAGTGAAGCACAAAAACATGCAACACCTTCTGAGGGTGGGGGGCGGGTTACTGGGTTTGCTGGAATTATGCACGGAATTAACCAGCAACTAAAGGAGTTAAAAGAAGACACTAGAATATGGTAACTCCTACAGCAATCCAGCTGACTATAATCAAAATTATTTTGAAATAGTTCCTCATAGCTGGTTTTGTTCTAAGCAAGGTAATGTCATTCATCACAAGCTAAATAAAACCCTAGTAAGGTCAATACAGTCCTGGTAAGATGTGTTTTATGATTAAAGCCCCTGACAAAGTGATTTGTACAACAGTACTATCTAGCTCAGTGCTTCTTAAATTCCCCTGTACACACGAATCACCTGGCAGTCTTTTGAAAATGGAGTTTCTAATTTAGTAGGTCTAAGGAAGGTCCTGAGATGATGCATTTTAAAGCAGCTCCTGGATGGGACTGGTACAGCCAGTTCTCAGACAATACTTTAAGCTGCAAAGGCAGGTACCTAAGCAAATATGTTGCTCTTGGATATTACATTATGAAGTTGTCCCGTAAATTCCTTTGACAAAATTAATTAGTCTATTGTTAATATTCCTATTTACTCCTTGACAAAATAAATAAGTCTGTTGTTAATAACCCTATCCACTTTTAGGGGATATGGACATCCAATTTTTTTCTAAAATCAACATTTGTTTTAGATATGGGGTATACATGTGCAGGTTTGTCACATGGGTATAGTGCACCCAGGTAGTGAGCATGGTAAACAATAGTTTTTCATCCTACTCCCTCCCCCCCAGTGCATAATGCCTGTTGTTCCCATGTTTAAGTCCTTGTATGCTCAATGGTTAGTTCCTAGTTATAAGTGAGAACATGTGGTATTTGGTTTTCTGTTCCTGAATTAATTTGCTTAGTATTATGGCCTCCTATGTTGTTACAAGGATTGTTCTGGATTCTAATCCCAGTTCTTCCACTTGCTGACTCTGTGCCTGTGGATGAGTGTGCAATGGTTTACTCATCTGTAAAATGGGTCTGCATTCTGCAGGTGTTACTGGATTGAGTAAATATCTGCAAAACTCCTAGAATAGTGCCCAGCACATATATAAGCTACATAATTGTTTGTTAAATATATGATTAAAATAAATAATATATGCATTAATGTCATATCTTAGTTGCTCAGTGGTCCTATGGAATCTAGAAAGCCTGTTCCCTTTTCACCAACTAAAATATCCTACAAGACTTTGCCAACAGGTAGCTGGTCAGAGAGAAAGGAGACTTCAACCAGCAGCCTGAGACCCCAAAATAAATCCATGACACTTGGAAATGCATTCATTTTCCTTCTTTCATTAAACTTGCCTTGGTCCTTTGGTTTTGCAGTTGGTGATGTACATTGGCCAAGTGGCCAAGGATATCTTGAAGTGGCCCCGTCCCTCCTCCCCTCCAGTTGTGAAACTGGAAAAGAGAGTGATCGCTGAATATGGAATGCCATCCACCCACGCCATGGCGTCCACTGCCATCGCCTTCACCCTCCTTATCTCTACTATGGACAGATACCAGGTAACATGGCCTGTTTCTTTTTCCAACCCATCTACTGAGGCAGCCAATAGAAGCTGCACTTCTGAATTTTCTCTTAAAGCTGCTTTGAGGGACCTTAAGGTTTATGAAATATAGATTAAGAGACACTGAAACCTATTAAGCTGATGACAATTGCATCATAAATAAAGTGATCTTGTAATTTAGCATTCAAATCAGGTTATGCCTGAGTGTGAACATCAGCACCATTAATAATGACACCAGGGCAAATAGCATAATATGGACCGTCCCAGGAGACCAGCATGTAACATCACCCTGGGCTGCCTGATGAGACAGTGCTTGAATTAGTGCTCTCATCCTCTGTTTGCAAGAGGAATTTATGTCCTAGCAAATGATCCTCCAGGGCTGAGATGATTCCACCAAATCCCTCTGCCAGACTCCCCAGGGCCTGAGGCAGCAAAGAGTCTGTGCCTCAAATTAGCCTCCAAGGATGTCTCTGCCCTGGTTAAGGCTCAGCCTCTAGAAACGATGGCTCAAAGTTTTCTGGAACAGTCTAAATGGTAGGGGATTAATAAATGTTGAAAATAGAAGAATTTTACTTAATATTTGCTTAAATGACAATTATTGTAAGACTTAAACAGTTGTATTATTATAGCGATGGAAGTTATTTTTCTCCTAAGTGAGACCTGTGGCTCTAATCTTGTGTTTAATTTTATAAGTGTTGTCTTTTACCCATTGGAAGTTTTATTTGTTTGTTTGTTTCTGAGACAGGTCTCTGTTGTTGGGGCTGGAGTGCAGTGACACCATCACCACTCACTGCAGTCTTGACCTTCTGGGCTCCAGCGATCCTCCCACCTCAGCTTCCCAAGTAGCTGGGACGACAGCTGTGCACCACTACATCCAGCTAATATGTTTTTTTAATTTTTTGTAGTGAAGGGGTCTCGCTATGTGGCCCAGACTGGTCTTGAACTCCTGGCCTCAAGCAATCTGCCCGCTTGGGCCTCCCAAAGCACTGGGATTATAGGCATGAACCACTGCACCCAGCCCCACTGGAAGTTTTTTATTCTGTTCAATCTCACAGTCTTGTAGATAAATAACAGCATTGTTTTGCCCTGCCCCTTTGCCCCAGAAGCTCGGGAATGGTCCATATTCCAGGTTATCCAGAAGCAGGAAGTCAAGCCTCATGCAGCTTGAAAGATTGGGACTAGTGTGGGGTCCCACCTCTACCGCTGTAGCCCTCTACCTGGCCACCTGGGTTTAGACCTCTCTTCTGTAAGAAAGGGATAGTTATAAGGAATATATTTGACTAGATATCAACTTCTGTCATAAGTTACCTTAAGGTCATGCCACAGCCAAACAGTATCTGAGCTTCTAGCACTGTCTGAATTAACTTAGTGCAGACGCTGAGTGATGTTGTACCCAATGTCAGCTGCTCTAGAAGGATGTAATAGGCCAAGTGCCAGCTCCCATTGCGTTGCTCTTGGTGCCCAGAAAAGTCTGTGAACATGCTAATATTGCTTAAGAGAAAAGCGGCAAGTGGAGGCTGGCAGCAGAAAAACGACCACCACCACCACGGGCGCATCCATTGCAGGACCTCCCAGTCCTCCTTAAAAAATTCTCATCACCTTACATGATATAGCAGTTTTCATAAGGTCTGAGTCATGTCGTTTAATTTCTTTCCTATTTGATTTTTAATGGTGAATATATTTCACTAGCTTTGTTTGCTCAGAAACAGCTCTAAATATTGTTTTATTTATATACATGTGTGTTGAGTACCCCAAAAACTATTGAAATAAAAATTTTAAAATGCGTGTTGAGGCTACTGCCCACACTCTAATTTCCAAATACATTAACTCATTAATTCTTAACACCTTTACATTAAAGAGACTTAGTTAATAATAAATCTTAAGAACAGACATGACAGCCAGGTGTTATTGTACTCATGTGTTACATGGGAAAGAATGCACTGGGCTGGAACTCAGAAAGCATGGCCTCCAGTTCTGACTCTCGGCTGTGTGACCTCAGGCAGATCATTGCACCTCTCTGAGCCCCAAGCTTCTGCTGTGAGGGTCAAATGGGAGCACTGACAGGAAAGTTTCTTTGTGATAAAGTTGATTACTAATGTCATTTATTATCATGGCTAAGGGCTTCCTCATTTGTAAAATGGGGCTGATAATAGAGCCTACTTCATAGGGTTGTGTGAAGATTTAAGGAGTTGGTGTAGAGTGCTTTGCCTAATATAGACAGCACTGTATAGTCTTGATCTTCTTACTATGGAACACCACTGACACTGGTGCTCGAAGCAGGTGGCTTACATGCCTATGTCTAGTTTATAAGCAGAGTATCTGTGTGTTCCTTATATAATTCAGCGTTAGCTGGATTCCTCTAGCCACTAGTTTTACTCAGCAGCAAATGTTGAGAGTCAGTCGCATCTGCACAAGTGCTTTTGACATCTGAATGCAAATATGCTGATTCTCAGTTTGGGTCCATTGCTCCTGCATCTCTTACAGAGGAGGAGAAGTTGCTTGTTGGGACTTTCAGGTGATAGCCCTGGCTATCTACCTTGCTTGGTCAAATTGTTTCTTACTGTTCTAATTTAAAAATAGGTAGAAATCAAAGTTATTCATTTCACAAAAACTCTTAGCACCATAGTTGTGGTCATGAGTCTTAAAGCCAAGTCCTACTATGTCTCAGGTGCATGCTTACATGTTGTGAAAATTCCTCCCAGTACGGTATAGACCTAAGTGTCTTCCCCTTCTCTTTCTTCTGTCTCCCCACTTAAAAAATGTTTTGAGATAATCAGATTCTGGTCTGGGGAATGAAAGGTTTGGACTAGCAATTCTTGCATTAATGAATCCTATTTCCACCTATGACAACAAATCGTCTATGTCTGAGTGTGATCTAATTTCCTTGCTTTTCTTCCTCCCTCCCCCACAGTATCCATTTGTGTTGGGACTGGTGATGGCCGTGGTGTTTTCCACCTTGGTGTGTCTCAGCAGGCTCTACACTGGGATGCATACGGTCCTGGTAAGGCTTTGGGGTCTGGTCTTGTGGTGATGGTTTGAATGGTGTTATGGTCACTGTGTCAATATGTTTCTCATACTACTCATTTATAAAGTTGTTTGCATGTGTATTGATATTTCTCATCATGCCCATGCAGTAAGTAACTATGTTCAGGTTCATGTATGACAATAGTAATGAAACATTAAGATAATATAAATGAGGCTGAGCTACACCAAACCCTCAAGATTTTGAAAAATGGGCTAGAACAGCGTTGGAAACTCCAATCATTTACATTCACATAGGTTTACTAATGATGCAGCAAGCAGTGCAGGAAAAGCCCCCCAGCTCACAGACACAGGTGAATAGACGCGGTTCCCCACGTAGGTCCTCATACTCAGGGGCCTGAAATCAGGGGCTCCAGTGCCCTTGCAGGGTAAGGGTCCCCCCAGGTCAGAAGAGTGCAATTGTGGCTTCGCTTCCTTCCATACTGTTTTAGGCGGAGGCAGTGGTGGGAACAGAGTCCCATCTGCATTTAAAGGTCCATCCACCCTTTTGCCATATTAGAAATATTTTCCAGGGCTGCCATGATTAGCACAGTTGAAATTCCCTGGGAATTCAATTTCCCAGCCTGTTCACAGCTGCCTTGAAGTTACAGAGCATAAGGCTGGTTGTGGTTGAACACAGGAGCGCTATTGATCATGGTAATGGGTGCAAGAAAGACTTCTTTGCAAAGAAATGGGCCCTTACTCATTGTGTGTTTATCTCAGCTCTGAAGCTCAAAAGTTAAGTTAACAAAAAAAACCTTGCAGGGAAAGGCCTACACCCACGTCAGACTTTTTGCTTCTTCTCTCTCTGGTCCCTGGTGTGGGATTTTTATGGGAAATGTGGAAGTGGGGCAGCAGAAGCCTCAGAGTGAACAGATTGGGGAGATCATTTGTCAAAATGAACAGAGGCCAAAGTAACTCAGAGAAGGGGGCTTTGGGAGGGTCTGTCAGACAGCAACATTACGCTTAAAATGCACAGGCGGGTGCTGAGAGCAGCTGACTCAAGGCCAGGCCTCAGAAGAGGCAGGCAAGTCTCCAAGTTAAGGAATGCTAAAGATCTCAGGAATCAAGACAAATAATTTAACTGCAATTTTTTTAAACACACTAAAATTCCTGCCATAAAACCCCCATGATGAGCTAAATAGTCATATTTTAAGTAAAGACAAGATCTGACCCTGTATTTGCATGCCCCTTGCATCACCTGCTTCACCTCAGCCGGGCCCTGATCTGGGAGCTGTTCGGGTGAAGGCAGGGCTCAGATCTTGGAAATATGAAAGGAGCAATGAAGGGCCAGTCTTGTAATTTTACCTTCCAAGGCACATCCTTGATGTCCCATACCACGTCACAGCACACTGGTGGCTTCTGAGATAGAGAGGAGGAAGGGAGGAGGGCGTTCTCAATTTGCTATACTGCTGCTTCGTGCTACCAAGAGGTTCTTTCCAAATATGTTCAGGGACTTCAATATGAAATGAAGGTGAACTCTCAGGTTCTCTGGCATCTCTTTTTTATCTAGGGCTACTTTTAAATTTCTGTAGGCATTAATAAAAAATGATCTTGGCAATGATATACTGGATAAAGAAAATGTGGGACGCATGCATCATGAAATATTATGCAGCCATGAAAAGGAATGAGATCATGTCCTTTGCAGGGACATGGATGAAGCTGGAAGCCATTATCCTCAGCAAACTAACACAGGAACAGAAAACCAAATACCACATGTTCTCACTCATAAGTGGGAGCTGAACAGTGAGAACACATGGACACAGGAAGGGAAACATAACACACCAGGGCCTGTTGGGAGGTGAGGGGAGGGAACTTAGAGGATGGTTCAATAGGTGCAGCAAAGCATCCTGGCACACAAATACCTAAGTAACAAACTTCCACGTTCTGCACATGTATCCCAGAACTTAAAGCAAAAATTTTTTTTAAATGATCTTGAGAACTCGGGTTGAAGTTAAAATAAAAGTAAGCCCGAGCATGTGCAGCTACAGAAATGAATAAAGAGTCCACAAAACCCAGCTCACTAGAAACACAGCTACAGCTTTTTCCTTTTAAAGTGAGTTGTGGGGAGGGTAAGCAGATATTTAGGGAAAGGTAAGTTAGGCCTCTCATCCAGATGCAAGGAATGGGTCCCGTCCCCCTTTTAGGAGCATTTGTCCCAGAAGAAGCTGGAGCAACAGGCCACAGCAACCATTGTTCCCAACTCCATTGTCCCATCTGTTTTGTCAGGACCCAGGTCTTCTTTCCTGATTATAATTTTATTTCATAAAGATCTTAGACGCTGACTCAGGCAGGCTCAGACCCAGGTACCAGTCAGGTTACAGGACCAGAGCATGGCCTAGGGTAAAATGATGAGTAATTCCTAATAGAAGAGAACAGTTGGTTTTAATAGTAGGATAAGGTAGAATTATAGATTCGTAGTCTTTATTCAACAGCAACTTACTCAGCCCCTACAGGGTGCTGGGCTTGGAACTAGATCTGGGAGCTCTTGTGGTAAACAAACCTACCCCACCCTTCTGGTGTCCAAGTCTGCTGAAGGAGACAGACGTCTATGCTGCTGACTACCTGGCATGATGATATGGTTAGGATGGAATAGCTGGATTGAGCCAACTCGTAGTGTGCCCTTTCCCCGGGCCCCTCGCAATCTCTAGGGAATTTCTTTTACAGTCGCTCTTTATTTTTTATTTTTTTATTTTTTTTATTTTTTGAGACGGAGTTTCGCTCTTGTTACCCAGGTTGGAGTGCAATGGCGCGATCTCGGCTCACCACAACTTCCGCCTCCTGGGTTCAGGCAATTCTCCTGCCTCAGCCTCCTGAGTAGCTGGGATTACAGGCACGCGCCACCATGCCCAGCTATTTTTTTTGTATTTTTAGTAGAGACAGGGTTTCACCAGGTTGACCAAGATGGTCTCGATCTTTTGACCTCGTGATCCACCCGCCTCGGCCTCCCAAAGTGCTGGGATTACAGGCATGAGCCACCGTGCCCGGCCTACAGTCGCTCTTAACCATAGCTGCATATTCAAACCCCATGGGAAGCTTTCAAAAAAATCTCTCTGAAGATATTCGTAGCCCCATATTCAGAGCAGCCTTATGCACAACAGCCTAAAGGTGAACCCAAGTGTTTACTGACAGAGGACTGGATAAACACGGGGTGACATCCAGGCTAACAAAGAGTCATGGTGGGTTCAGTTCCAAAGCATCATAATCAAGTGAATCACGCACGTTTTTGTTTCTCAGTGCATGTAAAAATGATGTTTATACTATTCTGTTGTCTAGTAAGTGTGCAATTGCACTATGTCTAAAAAAAAGCAATGCACACATAATTTCTTAATTTAGAAATCATTTATTGCTAAAAAATGCTAACAATTATCTGGGCCTTGTGTGAGTCATAGTGTTTTTGCTGGTGGAGGGTCTGGCTCGGTGTCGATGGTTGCTGACTGATCAGAGTGGTGATTGCTGAAGGGTGGGGTGGCTGTGGCAAGTTGTTTTTTTGCAGTTGTTTGTTTTTTTGAGACATGTCAATCTGTCACCCAGGCTGGAGTACAGTGGTGTGAATCTTGGCTCACTGCAATGTCTTCCTTCCAGATTCAAGCAATTCTCATGCCTCAACCTCCCAAGTAGCGGGGGCTACAGGCACGCACCACCACATCTGTCTAATTTTTGTATTTTTAGTAGAGATGGTATCTCACTATGTTGCTCAGGCTTGTCTCAAATTCCTGGACTCAAGCAATCATCCCACCTCGGCCTCCCAAAGTGCTGGGATTACAGGCGTGAGCCACTGTGCCTTGCCTGGCTGTGGCAGTTTCTTAAAAGAGACAACAATGAAGTTTGCCGCATCAATTGACACTTCCTTTTAGGAAGGATTTCTTTGTAGAATGCCAGTGCTGTTTTATTTCCTTATTTTTCTCCCCTTTACATATGACAAACCATGTGATGATATTTGATAGGCTTTTAGCTGGAGTAGAACTTTCAAAATTAGAGTCAATCCTCTCAAACCCTGCGACTTGCGACTTCTTTACCCACTAAGTTTATGTAATATCCTGCACTTCCTTGTCATTTTAACAATGTTCACGACATCTTCACCTGGAGTAGATGCCAACTCAAAATACTACTTTCTTTGTTTGTCCATAAAAAGCAACTCTTCATTCATGTTTATCATGAGATTGCAGCCATTCAGTCGCATCTTCAGGCTCCACATCTAAATCTAATTCTAGTTCTCTTGCTATTTTCTTTTCTTTTTCTTTCTTTCTTTTTTTTTTTTTTTTTTTTTTTTTTGAGATGGAGTCTTGCTCTGTCACCCAGACTGGAGTGGAATGGTGCTATCTTGGCTCACTGCAACCTCCACCTCCCGGGTTCAAGCCATTGTCCTGCCTCAGCCTCCCAAGTAGCTGGGACCACAGGCATGCACCACCATGCCCAGCTAAGTTTTGTATTTTTAGTAGCGGCAGGATTTCACCACGTTGGCCAGGCTGGTTTTGAACACCTAACCTGATATGATCCACCCAACTTGGTCTCCCAAAGTGCTGGGATTACAGGTGTGAGCCGCTGAACCCCGCCTTTTGCTTTTAAAATCATATCTGCAGTTACTTCCTCCACTGAAGTCATAACCCCCTCCATGTTAGCCATAAGGGCTGGAATCAATATCTCCCAAATTCCTGTTAATGTTGATAACTTAACCTCCTCCCATGAACATGAATCACAAATGTTCTTAGTGACATCTAGAATGGTGAATCCTTTCCAAAAGGTTTTTGATTTACTTTGTCCAGATCTATCAGAGGAATCACTATCTATGGTAGCTTACAAAATGTGCTTCTTAAAAAGTAAGACTTGAAAGTAGCAATGACTCCTTGATCCCTTGGCTGTGGAATGGATGTTGTGTTTAGCAGGCATGAAAACAACATGTATCTTGCACATGTCCATTAGAGCTCTTGTGTGATGAGGTGCATTGTCCATTAGCAGTAATAGTCTGAAAGGAGTCTT